GCACAGCAGCAGCCTGGCAGTGCCTTGGGATGGCTGGCACAGCCCGGCACTGCGAGGAGATGCCCAGCCCCAGGGGCAAGCACCGGGAATTGGCAGAGCTTCCCCGGTGCCTCCCAGGGACGCAGGCATGTCCTCAAGGGGAGGTCTCCTGGGGCAGCGGTGGTACGGTCCTCCATACTCAATACAAGAAAATGCGTCTGAAACCGCTCCTTCATCAGCAAAAAGGAAGAAGATAATGCATTCCGCATCTGAAATTTTGCAAAGCAGCAGGTGCTTGGCATGCTGGTGGCATGCACAGAGGTGCCAAGGACAGAGGAGAGCTTGCATGGTGCAGCCCTCTCCTCCTCCGCCTGCAAGAAAAGGGACTGCACACCTGATCTCAACGACTCGGCAAAGAGTCACGTCCCGCCAGCACCGGGGGGCCTGTGGCGAGGAACGGCAGGAACCTCGGCTGTCCACAGCTTCCTCACCCCTGCATCACAAGCTAAGCTATGAATCAGCAGTCCGACCTTCACGGACCACCCCAGCCTCTCCACTACGCTGCTCGCTCGGCTTCGTCTCCCCCTCGCCATCAGCCCTCAGCATCCTCCTCTCTCTCCCTTTCGATGCTGAAGGGAGAGGAGCCTCCACACCCGTCCCACGTGCGTCGGTAACCCCCACCTGCCTTCCTGGCCGTTTCTCCTCCGACCATCCCTCCTTAAAACCACCCAGGAGGACATTTGCTGGGGAAAAGATGCAGGCCAGCCGCCGGCGGTGGCCAGACTACGACGTGCCAGCCCCGGCGCTGCTGCTTCCTCGCCGTCCCCTTCGCCAAGCATCTGCGTCTGCCTCCGGTGCGCGGAAAACCTTGCCTAGGGAGGAGACCACGTCGGCTCTGAGCGCCGGCTGCAGCACCAGAACCAGCATCTGCAAATCCATGGGCAGGGGCAGGAGCTGGGCTCACGTCCCACGCTCGGGCAGCCCCCGTCCCCCCGCCCAGGCTGGCTCAGGCCCCCCGCCCTCTGCGTGGTTTTTTGGGGGGGTTGGTTTTTTTTCATATCCAAAACATAGTCATGGTCACAAGCCCAGCCCCGGGTACGCAGAAGTGAAACCTAGCTGAGGAATGCAATGAGGTGGTGTTCGCTCAGACCTTCTACCATGTTTTTTCCCCTTGGTGGTGGTGGTGGTGGTGCTTTTTCTTTTTTTATTTTTTCTAAAGTAGAGTCATTTCCACTAAAATACCCTAGGGAAACCCCAAGTACTATTTTTTCTCTCGTCTCCTACCCCCCATCTCTTTCACAGATGCACAGTCTGCATTCAGCCAATGCAATCCTCAGGTCTGACATTTAAGTGGTATGAGAGGACCAAGCGAAGCTACCCCTCTGGCTTTTCTTTCTCCCTTTGGCAAGAAGACTGCAAACAGGCATACAACAGGCAAAAAAAAAAATTTATCTTTTTTTCCCCTTGCTCCCCGGACTGAGCCAGCACCTGACACTCCCCACGGGTACATTCCCTGCTCCCTAGGAGTATAAACAGCTTCAAGAGTAACTCCTGTGTTTTGTAAAAATAAGAACTCGGAGTGAACGTATCAGACCACCACTGAAAATCAGCCATCTCTTTTCCCTTTTCGGTATCAGGAGAAGTAAGGCAAACGACAACAGAGAGAGCTCAGGCTTCAGCTTAAAGCACCTCTTGACAGCTAACCCTCCACCCACCGACGCCACACGCAACCAATAAAATCAGATCTTGTAGAAGAAAAACCTCAGAGAAAGCTCCGTCGGGCCACGACTCTCCGTTTGCTGGAGCCTGTTTTGGAGGGGTGACTCGCCGAGCCGCCAGCTGTTCAGGTCCCCCGGCAAGCTCTGCGTGACGTGCTGTGTACACAGCGTGGGGACGCAGGCACGGCGCGGGGAGACCGCTGGGGCAGCGGAAACACCGGACGAAACGCAACGCAGCAGCGCCTCACGCTCGCCGACATCCTGGCCAGCAGCCACTCTGCGGGCGGCTCACTCCACCGCCTCGGAAGGAAACACCAGACTCCAGAATTCTGCGAGCTGAAAAGGAGAAAAAGTCCATCGCCAGAGCCAGCCCAAAGGTAAGCTGACAAGAGAGAATGTTTCACCTTAGTGAAACCTTGCCTTCAAAGCTTTCTTCTTGCTCCAGGATCTGAAAACTAAGTACATTTTACACAATTTGTTTGGCTTTTAGCATACCTGCATGTTATCTCTTTAAGAACAAACAGAGCTATCTTTTTGCTGTATGCTTTAACTCATTTTTTGCGGGCAGGGCTGCTGCCCCACGGCGCCGTGCCCCCCCCGCCTCCCGGGGGG